GAATAGGTTCGTAATGTCAATTATGATTTGTGTGAAAATTTTGGGATCAATCGGAGTGATTTGATAGGTTTCAGTATCGGATATAGAAGCTAAAAGTTCTAAAGTTCATTAGGCTTGAATCGATGCGCAATTTGTGGTTTTAGCGTTGTTTGATGTGATTTGAAGGCTCGACTAAGTTCGTATGATGATTTAGGACTTGTTGTTATATTTGGTTGAGGTCCCAGGGGTCTCGGGTGTGATTCAGATCGTTATAGGATCATTTTTAGACTTGTGAAATTTGCTGAAGTTAGGTTGTTCTGGTGTTTTTGCACATGTTGAGGGATTGGCCGTAGGTGCGTGCTCGCAAAAGCGAGCACTTGGTCGCAAAAGCGATTTTGTTCATGCCCAACAGTGGTCGCAGAAGCGGGAAATTTTCCCCAGAAGCGCCTTCGCTTCTGTGAAGGCAAGGTTGCAGAAGCGACAGTGGTCGCAGATGCGATCCCATTCCCGCAGAAGCGATCACGCAGATGCGAGCCCTTATCTGTAGAAGCGGAAGCCTGGGACTTAAGTGTTTTCCGCACGTGCAGTGGTTTTTTTGCAGGTGCGGCGTCGCAGAAGCGATTCCTTGTCCGCGAATGCGGAAAGTGCTGGGCAGAGAGGTTAAAATCGAGGGTTTGTCATTTTCTTCATATTTTGAGATATAGAGCTCGGATTGAGGCGAGATTTTGAGGGATTTTCAGATAAAACCTTTGGGTAAGGATTCTTGACTCGTTTTTTTTTAATTATATTCCACTAATCTATCTTCGATTTCTTCATTTAATTAAGGATTTTGGTTGAAATATTTGGGAAAAAGGTGTAGAGTTCTTAGACCGAATTCTTGGGTTTTGAAAGGCGAAATGGAGTCAGATTTGAATAATTTTTGTATGGTTGGAATTGATATCAAATGGATGGTCGGATTTTATAATTTTGGTCGAGTTCCGAGACGTGGGCCCGAGTAGAATTTTTAGGGCGATTTTTTCAATTCTTGCTAAAATAATAATTTCATTATTTAGATTAGTTTCCATAGTTATATTTATAGTATGAAATTATTTTTGGCTAGATTTGAGTCGTTCGGAGTCGGAAAGTCAAGGGAAAAGCCTTCTTATTGATTGATTGAGCGAGGTTTGAAGTAAGTGAATTATCTAACCTTGTGTAAGGAAAATTCCCCTTAGGATTTGGTACTGTTATGGTAATTTGCAAGATATGAAGGCCGTGTACGCGAGGTGACGAGTGTGTACTCGGGATAAATGTTGAAAATCCGGTTTTTGATAAGTAGTTTCCTTTTATTTCCTTAATTGAGTTACCCTAGCATGTGTAGTCATCATGTTTAGCCTAATTTCGTATGTCTACGTGTCTTATCTCTTATTTGCAATTTTGTGCAACATGCTTAGTTGAATTACCTGGTTCCTTGATTCCGTACTCATTATTTAACTGTGGAATTCTTTGCTTGAAATATCATTATTTCAATTGTTATGTTTTGATTTTTGTGATTATTGTTGAGGTGATTGTTTGGTTGTGGCACGAGATTTTTGCCGTGCGGGTTGTTATTGTGGCACGAGGATTCTGTCGTGCGGCTGTTATTATGGCACGAGGTTTCTGCCGTGTGGATTGTTATTGTGGTACGAGATTTCTGACATGCGGATTGTTATTGTGGCACAAGGTTTCTGCCATGCGGTTGTTATTGTTTGCTTGAGGTTTCTGCCATGTGGTTGTTCTTGTTTACACGAGGTTTCTGCCGCACCGTTGTGATTATTGATACACATTGGTGGTATAAGAAAATAATGTGAGATATTTACTTTTAGGACTACGAGACGGTACCTCGGGAGTGCCCCTGTTGATTCTTCTATTTGCTGTATTGTTTGTTGTTGTTGTTGTTCCTTAACTTGTAAGATTTTTGTTTCCTTACGTGTGTATTTGTCTCCTTTGGTTCCGTGTTGTTACCTTCCGTAAATTTCTATTGTTACACTTCCCTATCATTTTATTATATCATTACATCTTCTGCCTTGTTTCTTATTGTTTTCTAGTAGGGACATGACCTGACCTCGTCACTACTCTATCGATGTTAGGCTTGGCACTTACTGGTATCATTGCGGTGTACTCATACTACGCCTCTACATATATTTTTATACATATCCAGGTGCATCCTATCAACCTCGATATTAGAGTGTTGTGTTGATGCTTGAAGACTTCAAGGTACACCCGCCCGCGTCCGCAGGCCTCGGAGTCCCCTTCTATCCCATAATTTCCCAGTTTCTTTATGTTTTGATAGAGAGTGATGTTTAGGATATTTGCAACATTGTATCTAGAGCTTGTGACTTATATCTACAGGGTTTTGGGAGTTGTATATAATTTGAGTTGCAATTTTTACTTTATACAGTTGCTGATGTTTTGAGCTTTTAGATTATTATTTCAATTATTTCGCATGCTTGTTAGGCTTACCTAGTCTTAGAGACTAGGCGCCGTCACGACATCATACGGAGGGAAATTGGGACCGCGATAGAAACCGTCTCGATCATGTCAGTTTCTCTTTGGTATCGGTACAGTTCAGTTAATTTTCGGTATTTTTTTAAAAATTGTCATATAAAAGTCATTATTAGAAGTAGAATGCAATAAAAAACGTACTTTTATAGGACTTAGCAAAACTCTCTAAACATTTTTACTGTTTAAAAAATAATAAATTAAGAAAACATGAAAGATGACATGAATATAGATCCATCAACTATTCTACAATAGCATGAAAAAAATTAGGCGAATACAAATATATAGAAGATTAATATTAAAAAATATAAATCTAAATCACGAGTGAAAAGATATTAACCAAGTTGTGACTTAAGAATAAAGTTTATAGAAGATTAATATTAAAAAAGATAAATCTAAATCATATGAAAGAAAATGTATTCAACATATTGTAGTTTGCTATTCATAATCGCTAGAATACCTTGTATCTTACTAGTGAATATGCTGGAAATAATTTAGTTTCAATGGGAGTAACATAATAGGTTTGGGAATTAGGATTTTGAGTTTAATTACTTGTGTCTTGTAACTGTTTGCATTAGGATTTATTATTTTTAAACTTAATATATAGATATATTTTTCAAATGTAATTTTATTCGGTACGGTTCGGTAATTTTTTGATTTATTTTTGTAAAATAAAAAACCTACTATAATTATCGGTATGGTTATAGATTTATATAAAAACATACGGTTTTATTAAAAGAAACTTAAAAATCAATTTGGTATGCTACAGTTTGATCAGTTTAATCGGTTTTTAAATATCCATTCACTCCCCTACTTGCACTAATTTCTCGTTGTGAGAATTTGGAGGAAATCCAAGAGCATCACAGCCCCTGCTTCTTCTTGATACACATATTAAAATATAAGGTAATTGTTGAGTGCGGTTAGGACAGTGGGAGGCGACTCTGAGCATTTTTCGGTTGTTATGGTGTTACACCAAGGATATGCGCTCAGCCCTTTCTTGTTTGCTCTGGTGATGGACGCACTGACACACCATGTTAAAGGAGAAGTGCCATGGTGTATGTTATTCGCTGATGACATTGTTCTGATTGACGAAATGCGGAGTGGCATTAACGAGAGGCTGGAGGTTTGGAGACAGGCCCTTGAGTATAAGGGTTTCAAGTTGAGTAGGACGAAGACGAAGTATCTTGAGTGTAAGTTCAGTGTCGACCCGAGGGAAGCGGGCATGGACGTCAGGCTTGGATCGCAGATCATTTCCAAGAGAGACAGTTTCAAGTACCTTGCGTCGATTATCTAGGGGGATGAGGAGATCGACGAGGATGTCACACACCGTATTGGGGTGGGGTGGATGAAATGGAAGTTAGCATCTGGAGTCCTGTGTGACAAGAAAGTGCCTCCGCTACTCAAAGGTAAGTTTTATAGAGTGGTGGTTAGGCCGGCCATGATGTATGGGGCTGAATGTTGGCCAGTTAATAACTCACATATCCAGAAGATGAGAGTAGCAGAAATAAGAATGTTGAGGTGGATGTGCGGGCACAGTAGGATAGATAAGATTAGGAATGAAGATATTCGGGAGAAGGTGGGCATGACTCCCATTGATGACAAGATGCGGAAAGCGAGGCTTAGATGGTTTGGGCACGTTCAGAGGAGGAGCTTGGATGCACCGGTAAGGAGGTGCGAGCGGTTGGCATTGGTGGGTACAAGGAGAGGTAGATGGCGGCCTAAGAAGTATTGAGGAGATGTGATCAGGCGGGATATGGCGAGGCTTCAGATCTCCGAGGACATGGTACTCGATAGGAAACTGTGGAGGTCGAGCATTAAGGTTGTAGGTTAGGAGGTAGTTGAGTTCATTTAGTCTACCAGTGTGAGGCTAGGCTGATAGGATTTAGTCTTAGACTGCTAGTGGTCAGTGTTGTGTTTTCACTACTCTTCCGTTATTTACTGGTTATTATTTCTGCTTTCCATTTATTCACTATTTTTGTGATGTCGTGATTATTTATATGGTTTTTATTGATGGTATTGATATATTGTCTCTTTTCGTCTTTTCATCTTCTTGAGCCGAGGGTCTGTCGGAAACAGGCTCTTTACCCTATCGGGGTAGAGGTAAGGTCTGCGTACACACTTTTCTCTTCAGACCCCACTTGTGGGACTATACTGGGTTGTTGTTGTAATTGTTGAGTGCATTAATGAACTGTTGCCTTTTTTTCTTACAGGCTTCGTAATGGTTTGATTTTTGAAACGTTCCCTTATATGCTAGGCGTTAGTTTCTTTCCTTTTATATTTTTTAAAAATTTAGGATAATTAATTTTTTAAAAGGGCAAATGAGTAATTTAAATTTTAATTTAAAGCCTTCCCACTTTTAATGCAGTACACATATAAATATAAATATAGATATAGATTTAGATTTAGTTTGTTTTGTTTTTTGGGAATTTTTTAGCAAAACGGGTCATTAATAAGCGGATGGGTCGGGTATGCCCAAGTCTTATCTACGCGGCGTTCATAGCATTAATTCCGCTGCAAGCTTCCCAACTTTAGCAAAACTAGGGTTTCCCCAAACAAATCCCTTTTAAAGATAGGCAATAGTGCGCAACAAGAAAACGCATACAATCTTAAGCTTTTACAGATTCTTCTCCGTTGAAAGATTGAAAATTCTTAGGTTTTTCTTTGGGAGTTGGTGAGAAATCAATCAATTCGTGAAATTATGCCTCCGAAAGCAGTAAGAAAGACACCTATTGGATCTGGATCCAAAAGAGGTGGCCGTACAGCTCGTGGGACCCCAAAGTCTCAGGCAAAGACCGAATTGAAGACGGAGGAGGTCGTTGAGGAAAAGCCCGAATTGAAAACCGTTGAACCGGAGCCCAAGGAGAAAACCGTGGAACCAGTGGCCGAGGACCGGGCCGAAACTGAGATGGAAGCGAAATCTGTGGAGAACGGGGCGGTTTCGGAGAAGAGTAAGTATTTATTTTGAAAATTGATGTTCTAAATAATTTATTTGAATTATACTTTGTATGGTTGTGCTTCTTTTGCTGCGTTTCGGTATACTAATTGTAATAGTTTGGGGTCTTGTAGCTTAATAAAGATAGTGACCAAATTTTTTTTATGTCATTCAAAAAATAAAAAATAAAAACTTTGTGGATCTAGTTCGTTGTTAATGATTGGTGTGGACTTTACTTCTGCTAAATCCTTGGAGAACGGGGCGGTTTAGGAGAAGAGTAAGCCTGTAAGTATTTATTTTTGAATTGGTATTCTAAGAATTTTGTTGAATTAATACTTTGTTTAGTTGTGCTTGTTTACTTGGGTTTTGTCTATGTTCATAACTGTTGGGGATTGGCATGTCAATTGTAATAATTTGGGTTCCCTTTTTTTGGATAAATATTTTGGGTTCTTCTAGTTCAACAAGAATTGTGAAAAAAGGTAAAAGCTTTATGGGTTTGGTTCGTAGCTAATTGTAGATGCAAAGTTTATTCTGGTGGACATAGCTGTGTAATAATATTATTGAAAGAGAAAGTGGTTATTTTTTGAACTTTCATGAACTAATACCTATTTTAGATATGTTTTTGAGAAAAAAATACCTATTGTAGAAATCCTTGTTTCCTGTGTTTATGCTTGAAACTGTTGAGAATTGCTATGTAAATTGTAATAATCTAGGTTCTGGTAGGTTATTTAGGAACTGTGTCAAAAAATATTATGGGTCTAATAGAAATGGAAGAACTAAATATAAATATTATCTCAACAGAACGTGGATATGAGAGGATAGTGCTAATAATATCATTTTTGGTGAGGGGAAGCTGTGATCATCACTTTAATCTTATGGCCTGCTAACTTTAGATTAATGAAGAAATATGTGTCTATATGCGCTTTCAAGCTTCAATTAAAACGAAAATAAAAGAAGTGAGGTGTCCCCAAGAGATGGTTGAGGCATATGAGTTATGACCCTCAAAAAGCCTTGTGGATTAGTAAAGGTGCTCGCAAGCTGGTCTCAACACCATCTTTGTGGGAAAAAAAGGGAAAGAACGAAAAAAGGCGAGACTTTTGTTGGGAACTGGGGATGAATGAAAGCTCCCTTGTTCTTCAATAAGGGAAGAAAGAAGACGGAAAGGTTACAGTTGCTTCCACATGGTCAATTCTGCCAAATTTTGTAACTGTGATCTTTCTCCTGAGGAATTTCGTGCAGGTCTTTTTAAGTTTATGCAGAGGCATCTTTTGATGATCAGCTATGTCTCGATAGAGTTGGACATTGTTGACAGCTTACAGGATTTGCAAGAAATTATGTTATACTTGGACTAAGACCCTTTTACATTCTCCATTGACTGGCCTGGGAAGCTAATTTTTTTTTCTCGTGGCAGAGGAGGACGATGTGAAAGAGTCAGTCGATCAGTATGAAAAAGGTGAGCGATTAGATTTGGAGGATAATGACCCTGAATATGAACCTGAAGAGTATGGAACGGTTGATTATGACGAGGGAGAAATGGAACATGATGACATTCAGGAAGAGGGAGATGAAATAGAGGAAGAACCTGAAGAGGGAGATGTTGGTGAAGAGGAAGAGGGTGATGATGTTGAAGAGGAAGAGGGTGATATGGTTGGAGATGTTCACGAGGAAATTGAAGGTGATGAAGAAGATGATCATGCTGGGAAGGAGCATGTTGAGATGGTTGATGCAGCCGAGGAGGAAGAACATCATGAAGTTGTTAAAGAAAGGCGTAAGCGGAAGGAATTTGAAATATTTGTTGGTGGCTTGGACAAGGATGCCACTGATGACGATCTCAGAAAGGTCTTCAGTAAAGTTGGTGAGGTTACCGAAGTGAGGCTTATGATGAATTCTCAGTCAAAGAAGAATAAAGGATTTGCATTCCTGAGATTTGCCACTGTAGAACAAGCAAAACGAGCTTGTACCGAGCTGAAAAATCCAGTGGTATATTCTTTATTCTGCAGTTTTCATGTCACTGATTTTAATTCCTCATCGAAGGTATTTTCCTGACAATAGAATTTCCAGGTTAATGGCAAACAATGTGGTGTTTCTCCGAGTCAAGACAATGATACTCTGTTTTTGGGTAACGTATGCAAGTCCTGGACAAAAGAAGCTGTAAGTAGACTGGGCAGATTCATATTGTCACCAAGCACGATTCGTAGTTTTTAAGAGCTGCTTAACTAGTCATTGATGTTTGCTTTCTCTCCAGTTAAAAGAGAAGCTGAAGCATTATGGTATTGACAATATTGAGGATTTGACATTGGTCGAAGACACTAATAATGAAGGAATGAATCGGGGATTTGCTTTCTTGGAGTTCTCTTCACGTTCGGAAGCCATGGATGCTTTTAAGCGGTTACAGAAGAGAGATGTTATGTTTGGAGTTGATAGGCCTGCAAAGGTGTCTTTTGAGGATTCATTCATCGATCCTGGTGATGAAATCATGGCACAGGTAAACTCTTTGGACCTATATCTATATATTTTAATAAAAGGGACTACGGCGCTGGTTAAGTATAGTTATGCTCTAATAGCCTCTTCTGTTGCAAAGAGAGAAGAATGAATAAGGACACTGCATGTATTTTAGTCTTTCCTTTCTACAATCAGTTATATTTATGGCTAGGTGGTAGCTGTTCAAATTTTGTCTTCCCGTTAATTTTTAATCTGGGTAGTTTTGTTTTCTTCTTTCCCCATTAGTTTTCTTCTGATAAATTTGCTGCTTACATTTGAGTCAGTTGCTGTGCAGCTATTTGTTATCTGTCTGTGGGTGAATTGTTTATTTTTGATGAACCAATATATGAATCTGGGTGACTATCTCTTGAGTTCAGGTTAAAACAGTGTTTGTTGATGGTCTTTCGGCATCTTGGGACGAGGATCGCGTGCAGGAACTTCTTAAAGAATATGGGAAGATTGAAAAAGTTGAGCTTGCCAGAAATATGCCTTCAGCCAAGAGAAAGGACTTTGGATTTGTCACCTTTGACACACATGATACTGCAGTTACATGTGCTAAAAGCATTAATAACGAGGAATTGGGTGAAGGAGATAACAAGGTTCGTTTTCTGTCTTTAAGTGTCTAAGAATATGTGCAACTCCTGTGAGTATTTCTTATAGTTGTATATTTCAGGTTAAAGTTAGGGCCAGATTATCAAGACCCCTTCAGAGGGGCAGAGGAAAATATGGTGGAAGAGGAGATTTACGACCTAGGCATATGCCTCTGCGTGGTCTCCGTGCCCCTTGGGGTCGTACAGTTCCACATAGTCGCCCTATTCGAGGGACTAGAGTTAGTACACGTTTGCCTCCTGTAGTTGGTCGTGGTTTTAAACGACCAGCAACATTGAGAGATAGACGGGCAGTGATGGCTTTACCTCCTAGGGGCAGGCCCATGGCTCCACCACCTAGCAGGTCATATGAACGGAGACCACCTGGTATGAGATGATTTTCATCTTTTATTCAGATCTGCTGGTTCAACTCTGCTTATTTTATAAATGACTCATGACTAAATTGCAGTTCCCTCGTATTCAAAGAGTAGCTTGAAGAGGGAATATGGACGGCGCGAGGAAATCCCTCCTCCTAGAAGCAGAGCACTAGCTGAGTATCCTTCGAGGGTTCATTCTGACAGACGTGCATCATATAGGGATGAATATTCTTCTCGCAGCTCTGGTTACCCTGAAATGCCTAGAGGTACTCACTCTGCAGGAAGGAGAGCTTATGTTGATGATGGATACGGACAACGGTTTGAAAGGCCTCCTCCATCTTACCGCGATGGACGTGGTCGTGAATATGACTCTATGTCCGGTTCAAAACGTCCATACAGTGCAGTGGCAAGTTATCTTAGCCATATACTACAGTTAGATATTTACTTGATCTGCCCAAGAGATACAAACTAATTTAGCTTCTGTTACATGCCAGGATGATGTTCATCCCCGCTATGCTGAGGCAGGAGTGCGCCATTCTCGCGCTCGTTTGGATTATGAACTTGGGAGCGGGAGTGGTTCTCAATATGGAGATGCATATGGTGACAGGTGCCTTTAATTATAGTTAAGTGATTTTTCTTCCTCTTGCGCAAACATTGGCACTATATTTACATGCCTGATGTACATATCAGTAGACTTGAGAGATCAAGTCTTGGATATGGTGGCAGCAGGAGCTCCCTATCTAATCAAGATTCTCATGGGATGTATAGTAGCAGTCGTCAGGGTATGAACTATGGTGGAGGTCTGTTCTTTTGTTCATTGGAAAATCTGGTTATTTCATTTAACAATTGTAATTACACGTCTGTTTAGAGAAACCTGTCTTAATTTTTATTTTGGTTTGCAGGCTCCTATGGTGGAAGTGATGGAGATGGAATGTATTCATCCAGCTATGGTGGTGATTACATGTCTCGTGGCAGTGATGTATGCTTCTACTTTGTTGAATTCTGTTGGAAGCTTTAGTGTCTATCCGATGATAACTGTTGTTCCTGTTCTTCTCTGACGAATCTTTAGGTTGGCTCCTCGCTTTATTCTAGTCGTAGTATGGGTGGCAGTGGTTATATGGGAAGTGGTGGGTCTGGTTCTTACTACTAAGGTATGTCTCTTTTTATTACAACCATCGTATTTTATTTGGTCGCCATGCTTTAGAGCTGAGTATCCCATACGAGCTTGTGATTCCCTCCTCCCCCTCTTCCTGTGAAAATGAAGCTGGGAAGGTTTTTCTTATGTTTCTTCTCTGAAAGAGCTGTATTTCAAGATATGGAGCATTTGGTCACCCACCAACTTATTTATGGTACAGATTTGAGTTGACAAAAGAGCTTGCAGTTGGATGTGTTAACATTGAAGCCCTATGCATTGACATGCCTCTGTCCTCTGAGGGAGATGGAGTTTATCTGTTATCTATTGCTTCTTTGTATATGTACGGCTAGATAATTTAGCATTAGAGGTTGTATTGCTCCGAAGCATCTTGGATTCTAATTGGGAAAAGAAACATCTGTTCCTTTTCTGATGTAAGGAAATTTGAGTTATGTAGAGCAAACAGAGATCTGTTTATTTCTGGTATATGAGCATGCAATAATTTGTAGTGGTTTCTCCTTTTAAGAATTTGCTGGAAAAGTGGAGGAGGTATGCTGCATGATTATTTCAAAAGAAAATGAATCCTAAAAGCTCAAGTTACCTTTTAGCCAGTCATGATTCTTAGGATATATTACAGTGATGGATCCGTGAGAGTTCTATTTGGAAGCTTTATATCCAGTTGTATTTTGATATTTTCATCACAAAGTTTATCACAGGTCTCAAAGATCACCAATAAAGAGCTTAATTTTGTAATCAACGTGTCGACTTCTGTACTGAGTTAATGGATTGACATGCATTCCAAATTATTTATTTGCTTCTGGATGGTGAGTGATTAATGGTTTAGATGAGGGAAAATGAATGTATTTTGATGACTTGAGAAAGAAAGCATCTATGGATATCATGGGCTGAAGCTGCTCATTGCCTAATTTTATTCCCGAGAGGAGTGAAATTGGATTGCTATAAATGCACCATAAATTGGTTTCAATGAGGCAAAATAAATGTATTTTGCTGCCGTGGCCTCTGGATTGGCAGATGATGAGTTCTTAGCATTGGATAGAAAATTATAATGTCTGGTGCTCAAGTCCTTGCAGCTTGTGAGCTGTTTCTGCAAGAAACATCATTGGTCATTGCTTATGTGTAGCGTGATCCCTGATTGCTTTCGTTTGATTACATGAGTATCATCCTTTTGGGACTGGCTTCTGGGTGTTGCACAGTTTTTTTTGACGAACTCGGTTTATGTATTTCTGACAGCTTAAACTGCAGAGAAATTTTGAGGAACTTGATAGTGCATAACTGTTGATCTATCTTAGAAGTATATAAGGATGAACACAATTAGAAGACTTGCGTTATTTGTGTTCTTCCATTATTTGGTGATGCACTCTAATATGAAAGCTTGCTTATGACAGAAAGTTGTCCTTGGAATGAGTGTGCTAATCTTGTGATTTTCTGTGGTTGATCCTATACACTGATTTGTTATTACAGTGGTGGCGGCACTATGAAGGTTGAGCAATTACATATAGTGAGGCATTTCATGTGCTGCTGTCATTATGGCAGTTTGCCCCAACTAGAATTATAACTCATAAGAAAGTAATTACTCCCTCCGTTCCAATTTATGTAAACCTGTTTGACTGGACACGGAATTTAAGAAAAAATGAAAGACTTATAGAATTTGTGGTCCGAAACAAGTCAAAAAGTGGTCCAGAGTATTTGTGTGGTTAAGCTTCTCATTAAGGATAGAATTGAAAGTTTAAGTTAAATTGTTTCCAAATTTAGAAAGGGGTCATTCTTTTTTGAACGGACCAAAAAGGAAATAGGTTCACATAAACTGGAACGGAGGGAGTAGCAGTTTGTCAAATTTCCTATATGTGGCCCTTGCATAGTCTTAGTCTGTGATTGCCTTTAAAATGCATGCTATACATGATGGTAGATAGATACTTGGATGACGGTGGTGCCCGGGCAGCTTGTGCGCACCTCGGCTATTCCCACCGGGTATCTGCTACCTTGCTACCTCGACTAGAACAGGTGTTGTGTAACTTTGCCCACCGAGACTTAGGCAGATGTGAAGCCTAGTGCTTTGTCTCTGATGGGGTTTCTACTATGATTTTCAATTCTTCATGGTTTGCACCTACTTCATCGACCTTTAGGTCACATACTTGGATGCTCTAATAGTAAGGCTGGTAACTGTTGATTCTCTTCTGTATTCTCCTCCCTGCATTAGCGGCTGCATTGTTCTCATGAACTAAGCTTAGTAGTTGTTAGCCTATTTTCATTGGAAAACACATACATAAAGTTGCTGGTCTAATTTTCTCCTATAGAAGGAAAAAGGGCCCCAAGATTTTAACTTACTAATTAGTGGCAGCCAAGATTTTGAGGTAACCTTCACTTATAAAAGTTGCAGTGTGATCTGATCATTGAGTTAGAGTTTGATGTTGCACTCACAGACGGGCTTCAGCTGGGATGCAGAATATTTTTTGTTTGCATTTTCATGTTATTTCATAGATAGTTTTAAATTCCTGTAAATTAGTAATAATATTTATTTGCATCTTTCCTGATTAAAAAAAATTCCTGTAAATTCTTTTCTGGGCGGTATTGCTTGATGTTGCACTGGCTCTGATGTACTTGAATCTTATCAGTATACTTGTTCTTTTCCTAGTTGACTGGCTTTAATGGTGATCGTTATACAGAATCTAGATATCTTTTTGATGATAAAAAATGTGTGGGTAGTTATTTCATCGTCCTTTTTTATTCAAAGTAGCATCAATACACAATGCAACCATTTAAATTCGATATTTATGTAAGTAGCTCCTCCCACTCAACTAGAATGACTTGTACTAGAGGGGGAATATTCACCTGAATATGCAAAAATTTAATATGTAATCTATGCACATGAATTATACTCCTGCCTCCTAGGATGTTGTCTCCTAGGGTGTAACTCTTTCTATTTCAGTCTTTTTAAAAAAGAATGGCATCTTGCTATAATTAAAAATAATTGGATTCCATCATTATGTGTTATTCTTAATGACTACTCTAATGGTTACAGAAATGTTATGACATGTTTGAATTTATGAGTTCTAAAGGGTTTTATTTGTTTTTAATATTCTGATTTCATTTAAACACGTTACGTAAAATGAAATAGAGGGAATAAACGATATATTGAGTCCACTTGCCCAAAAGTAGACATTCATTGCTAAGTTAGAGAAACCCCAATCAAATGTACCAACAAGAACTCCCTTCTGAGGAGGTATTTGCTACATATCCCGTTTTGCTTTTGCTTTTGACTTGACACACAAAATGCAAGTTCTTTGTTGCAAGTTTTCCTTGATTTTCTTTGTGGGAAAAGGCGCTTAACTTGTTAATTTTTTTTTATCGGAAATATGAAGCACGAGAAAACTTGTAGCAAACAGAGAGCAAACTGTTTATCTGATCATAGGAAAAAAATCAAAAATATTAGCACCCAAGGGTCAAGGGTGTGGCCTAGTGATAGATAAGACGAGTGGTTGTGAATTTTGAAAAGCAAGTTTCATTCTAGTTAAATCCTAGTATAGACAAAAGACATTCAGTAAAACCTTGTCTTACCCTTTGCTTAGAAATTGAGGAAGGAAAGTAAAGGAAAAGAAAATGGAACGAGAGAAATGAAGAACAAAAAGAGATAAAAGAGATTTTGCTTTCCTTTTTCGATTAGTGGAAGAAACAAGGACAAATGTGGAAGATTATATTGAAAGGACAATTATAGATGGGCATATGAAAAAAAAGGACTCTCCGCAATCTGCATCTATTTTCTGCCAATCTTTTCCTTACAAACTGAAGAGGGGAAAATAATCCTCTTTTCCTTTGTCGTAACGCTTATTAAGTTCAGACAACAGATGGTGAAATTTCATTTGATTGGTGAAGTTTCTTACCTATATGTTTACCAAAGCAACTGCTGATATATCAAGATTATATATGCTGTGAGGAAAAGTAACCCAATGACACTGTTAGAAATAAAGAGTTTCTCCGCTTATAAATCAGGATTATAAGTTCTGTGCATTTGCGGTTTAATTTTTTTTTTTTATATCATCAAAGAGAGATCTTTACATAAATAATCAATTGGATTTATCGTTTACTTTTTCTAGTCGATATACATAGATTAATACATTGATTATATACAATAATATAGACATTATATACGAATTATACTTTTATCATACATTCATCGGTTTCTTTTGGTTTAAACATTTAAGTGAGCAGCTATTTAGGTTGATTCTTCTTTTTCATTAAAGACAACGACTAGTAAAAACCTTCTTTCATAGATAATCAGTAGTATTCCTCTCACTAGCTATTCTGAGTAAGAGGGGGAGGACTTGATGTGATTACTATTAGACCTCCAACCCCGAGAGACTCTACAATCATTATGAGCGCGGACTGCAATTCATCTGAGCTTAGTCTTCTCTTCTGAGATGATTGGAGGCTGGGGAAAGGGCACTCTTGAAGAATGGCCGATCTCGCGAGCGGGCGGATAGAAATGCCTATAGATGAGGTAAGCGACGGTAGCGAGGGAGAGGTTGGAACCGAAAAAGACCAGATTCCACACATATGAGACAGGCAGAAAGTATGAGACTTTTAAAAATGGGAAGCAATTCTATTACAGGTTAACAAAATACACTATCATAAGATATTTTTTATAGACTATAACCAAGATCCAAAGCATGCTTTGATTAGTGAGATATTAACTGAATATTGCGACTTTATAACAACAAGGATCCGTGGCGCAATGGTAGCGCGTCTGACTCCAGATCAGAAGGTTGCGTGTTCGATTCACGTCGGGTTCAAAACCGAAATTGTTCGGATCCTTCCTCTTTTGTTGCATCTAGTTTGTACTATGATTATGTTAAGAGGAGTGGATATTTGTGCTTTTTTAAAAGGTCTTTGACGAGTCCATAGCTATGGATGTTTTCAACCTTGTGTACTATATTAATTATATATTATATATATATATATATAAAAGATATCCTACAAACTCGGGCATAATCAGAAATTTCGTTAAGGGTTCAAGATTTAAATTTCTTATATATAATAAATCTTTTTGATGCTCTGAATTGTCATGCTCATAATTTGATGAGCCTAATACAACTTTAAACTAATTCATGAGGTGAGTATATATATATAAAATTTATATACACAATATAACTTTTCAACGAATTTTTTTCAACTGACCACCTTTCGCTTGGTACAACTCATTAGGAAATTTTCATCATTGAGTTACAGTGACGAACCCGAAATTTTATTCAAGCGGGTTCAAACATATACTAAAGTCCTCGGCATCATTAGACGGTAGAAGGGACACTGAATTAACAAATAGGGTCATCTTGCTCTCTTTATTTTGATTCTTAAAAATCTTAAAAGGAATTTTGTCGCCTACCTTTTTTTTTTTTGGTTTGCAATGTTAAAAAAAAAAAAAATTCCAAAACTTTAACGGCGGATCTATTTACCTTTATAAATTAACAATTTAATAAATCTTTAGAATTTTTTTACAAATTTTACCGTAACAAGCATCGATTTGATCTATATATTAAAATACTAAATTTTATTTATTTCATTTAACTTGTGCTAACTGTAAATAAAGAGCATTATAAATGAGCTATAAACTAAACAATATTAATTGTTTAATATAAAAGTTTTTCCAAATTATGAAAGATACTAATTGAAGTCAACAATAAAGGTAGAACAACAACAAGCAATGCAGATTGATAGCGAGGAAGCAATAGTTTAAAATATATGGACGGTTCCTACAAAAGGCTGCCAAATTTGGTTAGAATAATATTTGAAGGAAAAATAAAAAAACAGCTACAACTATACATTCAGATAAATTGTACTCATAATTTATGTATTTTGGGTCTCTTAAATATTCACCACAAAAGTTCCATTCTTAAACAGGAAAAAATGAAAAAGCACTGCATAGTTTTTTTTTTATAAAAAAATTGCTAAGATAGAATGTTAAAACTGGTGTACGGAAGCGTTTACGTGGCTTTCCTTGGTTTACGCATAGGTGAAAATAAAGAAATAGGAGGCTACAAATGCTATGGAAAAGAAAAAAAAGAAGGGAATGATGCAGGAGCACTTAATCGAACACACAATCATTAAAGGCGGAGTAAGAATTTCAAGTTTATGAGTTCAAGATTTTAATCGCCTTAAGTTACTTGGTTCTAAATTAATAATATATACATATTCAATGAATTTTGTAAGACAAATACAAGATTCGAACCAAAGCTACTGGGTCTGACAGAATCTGCTCTCGATACTCTAGCTCCGTCCTGACATCCATTAAGATATGTTGAACCCGACCGCTTGAACCATCCCACCAAGGCAATCCCCTTGTCAAGCGGATTCAACGCCTTTACCTTAAAATAATATTTTCTTATTTGAAAGATAATTTTCACATAAAAATTGATAAAAAAAATTACGAAGAGGGTTCAACAGTATTCCTATGAACCTACGTGGGTCCGTCCCTGCTGGGCTACTGAATTCACGTAAGTTCAAATTCACGTGAACTTACATGGTAGGTTCGCCCCTGCTTGCAAGAATATGTGAAATGTGTTTAATTAGATATCGTAACAATAATAAGAACATGGTAACATTTTCAAATCGTGCCTGCTATCTCCTAACTACCTTTTATTTTCATTAACTTCAAACCAACATCCTAACATAAGGTCAAAGTTGACATGACTCAAAATAGCAATAACTCCCTCTCAGCCTCTCTCACATGAACAGAAGTTATTTATGATAATGAGATGATAAATACTTGGTCAAGCAGCAACACGAATTCTCTCAATTGGTCAGATGAAGAATCGATTGACTAATGACATTATATCTTAATTAAACTTCTTTTTGTTGGGCATAATTACTTCAAAACTAAACTTGTTTAATTTATTATGAGTATATGCATAAACATTGTAGAAGTTTTAAACTATTAGATCACTAAAAGATATAAACCAAAAACCGACCATCAAAGATAAGATTAATTAACTTGAACAATAAAACATGTTATTACCTACTACGTACAACAAGTTAAGATATAACAATATTATAAAATATTTATATTGTCAATATTATTTATGAGTTCGGAGAGATCTGCATAAATATTTTGAGTTCTTCAAACTACCGTATGTTCCTTGGATGTTGAAGAGTTATTAGCCTACTAGAGTGAAGGACTGCAATTTATTTTGTTTATTTATATATAATGTGTGACAATCTGTTCTTAGAAGTTACTTCACCGAAACTAAAGTTTAAAATTTTTAATCCACTTTCTTCATCAGCATAATTCTTCTCAAGACAATGGAAAGGTCCGATTCAAGTTACACAGTCAACCAGTATAGATTTAACACCGTATTATGACAGTAAGACTTGAATCTAGGATTTCCTACCAGCTCTAATGACGTAGTAAAATGTGTGATCACCATTTTTCCGTAAAACGGTACAGTTGAATTTGTTACGTGATTTATTGACAAACAAACTGAGTTGATCAAAATGATAAACAAGTTAAATTAAAAATAATACTTAGCGTTAAAATCAAAGGAAATAGCAAGCCTGGCTCCGAGAGCAATGCTTCAGAGGACAGCAGTATGAGCAATATCCAAACAGAAAGTAGTTGTACAATTTTCTTGGGAGTAAAGTAT